GACTGCATCTCTGGAGCTCAGCTACAGTCATCTTTGGGTTCTTCTGTACCTCTCTCACCAAGGCTCTTCTCCCCCGATAGCTCAGTTTGGCCGGACGGCCAGCTCTAGGAAGGGTTCTGGTCGTCCCAAACGTCTTCCATTTAAGGATTATGGAGGCCACTGTGCTCTTAGGCACCTTAAGTGCAGCAGAAATTTTTTTGTAACCTTGGCCAGATCTGTGCCTTGCCACAGTTCTGTCTCTGAGCTCTTCAGGCAGTTCCTTTGACCTCATGATTCTCATTTGCTCTGACATGCAGTGTGAGCTGTAGGGTCTTATATAGACAGGTGGGTGGCTTTCCTAATCACGGTCAATCAGTATAATCAAACACAGCTGGACTCAAATGAAGGTGTAGAACCATCTCAGGGATGATCAGAAGAAATGGACAGCACCTAAGTTAAATATATGAGTGTCACAGCAAAGGGTCTGAATACTTATGACCATGTGATATTTCAGTTTTTCTTTTTTAATACATCTGCAAAAATGTCAAACATTCTGTGTTTTTCTGTCAATATGGGGTGCTGTGTGTACATTAATGAGGAAAAAAATGAACTTAAATGATTTTAGCATATGGCTGCAATATAACAAAGAGTGAAAAATTTAAGGGGGTCTGAATACTTTCCGTACCCACTGTATATCTTCATACAAACAAATAACACAAAATCCAAAACTCAGTTTGCTGTTAACTGTCCCAAGATATCAGGAAGGTTTAGGGTTAAAAAAGTGTCAACTGTAAGAATGAAGTTCTGCTCGTTTTGTCTTTAGGCCACAGAAAACAGCATCATGTTTCCTTGAACATATTAAAACAAATATAAACATCTAACAGACTCTTGTTTTGCAGTACCAAGCACCATCAGGCTTAAATGCCCAAAAACACTAAAACCTGAGCGCGAGTTCATGTATTATAATAAATATTTATCATCTAAATAGCCACCATAGGAAAAATGAATAAAACAGTAAAATCAACCACGTCATGACAGGACAGATTCCAGCATGATGCTCAGTGTGAAAGAACCGTTTCCAACATCACTGATGTCCAGATGCAAAAGGCTCCAGCAGCACTGGTGTTCACACCAGTAAACCCAGCAGGTGTCAGTATCGGCCTTATCTAATTAATAACAGGAAACTGAAGTACAGAGATGCCACAGCTGGTTTTCTATCCGAGTAGTGACAAGTTTCACACAACAAAATCAAATCTGTAAAGAAGATTAATATCAGCAGATACGTCATTATCCAGAAACTAACAAAAAACCCAAACCACAAGATAAGACGGCCAATCATAAATACAAACAGCAGCCAATGGCGAGCTGGTACATGGTCATGTGGTCTCGGGCCAATCAGATTCAAAAGAGCAACAATTAAACATGCAGACAACAACCATGGTCCCAGTTTTACAACAAGTCACTGGACTGAAGAACCACACTAACGATGCTTAAAGTTGTGTTCAGCCTCTTTATACAAAGATCTGGAGTCTGAAGTTCTCAGTCAAAGTTTAGGACTGGTTTTAGGGCCATAACAGGTTCCAGTCAAACCAGAAGGTCATTAGAGACGAACACTGGAGCAGCTGGAGAGTCTGTTGGTCTACATGTACTGTTTGTGTTGTGTGTTCAGGGAGGGGATTTAAGTCAATAACAGATATGCTAAATGCACATTCATGTATGTGCACATGTATGCAAGCTAACAAAAAAGCAGAAGTGAAGAAGTCTGGTACTCTGAACAGTGAAGCTACTGGGGAGTTTGATAACATTGGAGCCGTGAGAGCAGGCGAGCTGAGGCGAGCCACTCGGTCTCAGCACTACACACAGTGTGTTGCAGGTTCAACATATTGCACATGTGAGTAGGAAGATACAGAAGGCAAAGTATGGCAAACAGGCAGGAATATGAGCAAGTACAGTGTGAGGAGAGGTGGAGACAGAGGGTGGAGATGGGGGACAGAGGGAGGAGACGGTGACTGAGAAAGTCTTAGTGACAGAGGGTTGTTAGAGAAGCAGCTCAGGACGAGCGTCACTTGATGTGAAGATGCTTCTCAGACGTAGTGAATAATTTTCAGAGCCGTGTTAGAAAAATAAACTAGATTAACAAACCTACGGAAGCAAAGAAAGGATGTGAATCTTCTACACAACTAAAAGGGAGGATTGGCGAGGTGTGGGGATTTACCAACAAATAAATGTTAAAAGATTTTTTTTAAGTGAACAAAGATGACAAATTATGGCCAGTATACAAGTTTTAATTCACAGGGTTCCTGTTTCAAAATTTAAATACTGGTGAATTTTACTTTTAAAGCCATGTCTGAATTCAAGTTGCTTATATTTGTTCTCTTTGAAATGTACAGAAGTTAATTCCAAGTTGTGCAGGTTCAACAACCCAGGTTTAAATGTTAGAGCACACTTGGATTAGAACTGCAGTTCAGTACTATGCTGCCAGTTATTTTACTTAGTAAAAATGCTGCCACGTTTTCAACTGTTTCGGTTTGAACGACAGTAATGTCTATAAAAAGTCTCTGATTTACAATAATACATGAAAAAAGCAGCACTTCATCACTTTGAGAAGTGTAAATCTGCTAATATAAAATCAAAAAATAACTTTCTGTGGTTGCACTAATTGTTTCAGTTCAGATACTAAAATACAAAGTTAAATATCCACGTTCTATCACATAGCACATGATCTGAGAAGTTCAGCTGAGCGACTGAAAGCTCTGGAAACTTCAGTTCACTGAATCTGAATCCAACAACAACAACAAAAATTTCTGAATCTACAAAACTTGAAATGACACTGGAAATTTCTGCAGGGGGGAAAGTCGACAAATTCACAGACTAGTTTTAAATCAGAATATTTCAACGTAACAGTAATTAGATTTCGCAGTGGTTACTTATGATGACGAACATCTCTTTGCCTCCACACAACCTGAGAACGTTTGTTTCCCTGAGAAACAAACGCATCAAACGACAGAACTCAAACTGAGAAGACTCAAGTGATCCATCACTTGAGTCCCTGCTCTGCGCACAGAGAGCGAGCTGGCGCCAATAGCCTGGCAGGATTCAGTCTGGAGGAGGACTGTGCTCCTAGAAGCCATATCCAACAGGACAGTGATGTTTTGCTGCATAAAGTTCAGTGTTAAAAAAAAAAAGTTTCCTTCCTTCTCATATCAAATAAACTGATATTTTTGGACATCTGTGTTTAATAAGACAACAGTGAAGCAGAGACAAGAAGCGCAGGTGCAATTTTCTATTCAACATTCAGTGAGATTTTAATCCAGTTGTTATGTAGCCTAACGTCTGCAGTTCAGCTGGTGTCAGACCCATCGTCATCGTCAGCAGTTTTTATTAAAATATA